TGGAGAGTATTAATTAAATTCCAGTATTTGTAATTATTTAGAATTATCCGGGTAAAAGTCTATATAAAGGCCTCACCTTATGTTGTAAACAACAACTTTCAAAATCAATATAATTACTAAGTTTTGTTTCTAAATTAGCTTTACTAATTTTGAAAGTGAGTGTTCTTCAAGAGAAGTTGATTCAACCATCTTATTGAGCTGAGAATTTGAATCGACCCATCAGGTAAGTCGTAACATCTTTTCTATTCCTTTTTATTTTCCTAGTTACCATGAGTTGCCGTCAAATTGCTGATTGTGATTGAAGTAGGAAGGGTTTAATTTAGGGAATTAAGTTTCTGCATACTAAGCACAGTAGGTCCATGATCAAGGTGTTTTTGATCCTGAAGCTCCCTACATCATTTCCTATAATACTAATGCTATGAGGCACATTCATTTTCGTTTATGGGTTATGTTCCATTTGAATGTGCCAATAAAACCTATCCAGAACCTAGGATGCATGTGTTGCAGGCATATATTCTGAGGGCTCTGCTATTGCAATGGATGGTAGGTATTGGAGGAAGTGGAGGATTATTAGGAAAAACTTTAGAGGGCAAATTCAAAAACTTAATCTGTAAGTTGAAGTTAAGAGAGGAAACTTTATATTCTAATCATAATATTTAGAATAGTTGATGTGGTGTGCAAGAGTTACAGAAAACTAGATAATGCGGAACTCAGGATCAACTAACATGAAGCATTCAGAATCTTTAAACTCTCAACAAATCCTTTCTACTTGACCTACATTCAACCCATGAATGTCAACCAAGGTAATTAGAATGATGATTTGAATTGATTAAATGCCACAAGATGGAACCTTGATAAGTGAAATTAATTTCAGAAAAATTAATAAAACACCATAAGAATTTATCTTAATAAATTGAATCAATTCCCATTCAACAAGAAGGTTGAAGAAAACCTCATTAATTGAAAACTAAAAACTCATAATTTTATTATTCTTAAATTTGAATAAATACAACTAGGAATTGAAAACCTATTTATAGAGTAGGTCAAGTGTATTACAATAAAATAAATCTTCTAAATTAATTGTAAAAATTACAAGAAAATTAAATCTTATCTTGAATGAAAAAATAATGAGAATTAAGAAGACTTTGTCTAAAATAGGATAATTAATTGTAGCGGAATTAGAGGAAGTAAATATAGCTAATTAAGGATGGCCATTAAAGAAGTAAAGAGGCCACCGATATCTTTCTTAAAATATGGGGTTTAGTTCTTTAATAAATGAGATTTGATTTTCTCTTCCTTTAAAATATCATATGCTTTAGGAAGAAATCTTCCCTCTTGGCTAATTCTTCCTTTAAAGAAATTATTTTCCCTTTATTTGCTCACATCACTGGATTACTGATCAGATGGTTGGGTTTCTAAACGAGCGTCAATAATGATGGTGATGGTGGAAGATACAGCAAGTTGACTATAATTCTATGACAAGTGTACTTGCCAGGAGGAGGGCCCTGGTTAGTCTCAAGGGGATGTTCAGTAACTGAAACCTCAAAACCACTACTTACAGGTGTCCTTTCCATGAATGCTCACAAGGAATTTGTAAGCCCAAGGTACGTTCATCCTGGAGCTGCTCCTAACATTACTGGATTTTCCATTGGTGTCACTGACCCCCAGTCACGCTTTTACCATACAAACTCCATTATGAATTTGGGCCATTCAACGGAAGCTATGATTCTTTGGTAAAACAAGTCTACCAAAGGATAAAAGAGATGTATATATATATATATATAATATTAATCAATATATATTTATAGCAAAAGCAATTTTCATTCTGCATTTTCATGTGTTCAGCAATTCGATGCATTAATCAGGAGCAGTTGTGGCAAACCGCTTTGAATATGAAGAAATCGCAAATCCCTACTCTGCTTGTCAGCAAAATAAATTGCCATAGACCAAGAAAATTATAGTGCTTAACTCTGAAATGCAAAATCTTTGAATTTCTAAGACCAATGCCTCAGTTCCAGCATTCCTATCTAGTCATGTTGTTAGTTTATTAGTATCATTTATCCCCTAGAAAAGCACATGACTTCCTGTAGTCCTAAGGGAAAGTTAGCCAACAGAGATTTCTTTGCCTTCCAGAAGCACTTTGCTCTAAAGCAATATCTTCATCTACAATCTCTGCGCCTCCTAGGAGCACTTTGCTCTAAAGCAGTATCTTCATCTATCAACAGTAGTAAATGCTTTTTCTTGTTAATTTCTAACAAACTTAGAATGGTAAGTTAGATCTCCATGACAAGCACCCTAGAGGTGAAAGAAAAGAACTCTAACTATCTGCTAAGACTATGTTTGGAATAAATGAAGTATAGCTATGAAATTCATTTGAAATATATACTTAATTCAACTAGATATGGAAACTTTTATTATTTTCCAAATTCATCAAAATATACACAGTTAGGTATTTAAAAATATACACATATTGGATATGGTAGAACTTCTTTTTTAAAAAAAATAAAAGAGATGGTAGAAAATTCTATTAGAAGAGAGATAGAAATTGACCATTTTTGTATCATGACGGAATTTTCACATGGATTATTTCAATCCCGCTTGAAACTCCTTAAGGGATCAATTTATCATTTTATAAAAGATTTTCAAACTTTCATAGTTAAATTGTGGATTTCTGAATAAATTCCACTAATGAAGTTTATATTTCCAAACATAGCCTAACCAAAGAAAATGAACTATTCTGCAAATTGAGGAGCTCAATACTCTAAAATGATGGTCCATTTTAACTCAGTGTGTTGTGATGTATGTGTAATAGCATCATAATAAATCCTGTCATCTATACAGTATCTAATCTAAGAATCAGTATACTAAGGAACAGCAAGAATCCACCGAATCTAGTCAGTCTTTCATATGAAGTTTTGCAGTGACTGCAGCCCATCTACATTCAAAATGAATCACTAAATTATAATATTAAATGTGTAGCACCTAATAACAATGATTCCTTAATTAAATAGTCGGTACTTCTCTCCTTCTATATGAGGTCATAGATTTAAGTCGAACTGTGTGTTTCGTGTTTTCTCATAAAAAAGTTATGTTGTGATTTATATGCATTTGTCACCTTACTGATGAAATATATAAATTTTCACTCAAAAAAACAAAAATTGCAGCACCTAAGGAATACAATATTTAGCTTGACCAGGTCTTTTCCTTTGCAATATCTAAACATATGCAGGAAATTCTACTAGACCCGTAACAGCCAAAGAACATATACTACAGACAATAACACAGACACAGATATATAATGCAATAAGGACTCAGAAGAAGGAATCCATGACATGGATTGATAAGTTACCTTGAGAATCCGAAGGACACGCGAAACATTTTGCTTGATCAACCGCTGCTTCATATCTTTGCAATACATAAGGCCCACAGTTTCAACATAAATTTCAATATCCTCACAATCATCCACTTCAAGACAAGAGAAACCAGACTCCTGTTTGGCAAGTTTATCTTTGAAAAAGCTGCTATGCCCTGCTAAAACATTTTTATGGACACTCAATTTGACACAAAATCCCTGCTTTCCAAGTAATACTACTTTCATATCACTGGTTCCAGCTTCACCAAACTCAATTGCCACCTTTCTTGGCAAGTTTTCTACCTTAGGTCTTGATGGCCTCTCAGGAACCACTGGTGGAGTAACGGCAGGTGTATCAGAGACAAAATTTTGTTGATCATCAGAGGCAAACCCTGATCTGATTGGGGTAGATGTTGACTTTTTCTCAGTCAAAGAGGTTTGTTTCTTCTGGACTGTAGTTTTGGGTGGTGGGGAGGAGGATTTAGGTTTGTTTAGAGGATTTTGTGCTTTAAGGGATTTCTGGAACACAACAGGAGAGGGACAACACCAAAAACCTTCTGGGGTTACAGCAATTGGCACGTTTCTAATCTTGGTTTGGCCTTGTTCTACCCTTGTCACTCTAATTTCAGCCATTTGCTTCACCAATAATTCACAGCAGTTCCAAAACCAAAACTTATATTTTTAAAAAAGAAAAAGAAGCTATTTAATTTACAATCAAAACCAAATCTTGCAAAAGAAAGCAGAGAAACGAAAAGCTGGGTAGTTTCCAGCTGATTTTGAAAACCAAACTAATTTCATTTCATCTCAATACTGCATATATCAATCGTTGTAAGATATTCCTTGCCAAGAAGAAAACAGTAAGCAAGCAAAATCAGGAGTTGCTTAATACAAGTATTTTACCAGCTACAAGAATGCTTGTATAACCAATTTCTTCGCCTTGTCTACTTGTAACAACAGATCAAATCCCAGACCTTAAAAGAAAAAAAAAAAAAAGAAAAACGTAATGGAAATACAGAAAACGCCAAGGAAGGGGGTTATAGGAAGTTTGAGATAACTAACCCTTGAAGCGCGTATATTTCTAAGCTTCTAAGCAAGTAAAATGATTGAATGAAAGCTCCCGTGTCAAGCATCAGGGGAACCAGGAACAAGTAAACAGATTAGAATAATGACTGCTAGCAATATCTCCTTTCTTTTAATTTCTAAAATGAATTGAAGGAAGTGAAAAAAGAAAAAGAAAAAGGAAGAAATGCTTTTGATGATTAAATGTATAGTGGGTCTCAATTGTTTTTTTGCATGCCTCTGCAAAAACCATACATATATATATATATATATTCTTTCTTCTCTTTCTCTCTCTAAAAAACAGTTTCTCAGAAATGAAACAGGGCCACCGCACGCCACGCCTCCTCATCATCATCCTTTGCTTTTCCCTTCTTTTCTTTCCTTTTCCTTTTTTTTTTTTTCTAAATTTTCTTTTAATTTAAAGACAGGTTCTTTATGTCTGTGTTGCTGGATTCTCTAGGCAAACTGCTCATTGGTTTCATCACTCCATGTGGACTAATAAGGAACGAAATGACTATTATGCCCTCTACTACTGCCAAGTCAATGGTCAACGTTAAGGGCATTGTGGGCAACAAACCATAACTTCGAAAACACTACAAATTTTGATTTTGGACGGAATTGGGCTTTCGTGAAAGTAATGGATGATACCCAACACTCAAAACCACATGTGCAAAGGGCCCCCCACAAATAATTATTATTGATTATTTTACAGTAAATATTCAATTTTTAATGAAAATTATTATTGATTATTTTATAAATTTTACCTATTACTTGAAATTTTTTGGATTATAAATTTTTACTTTTTTGAATTAAGAAAAATAATACTACTGTAATTCATTATTTTGTCCACATAATGTTAATGTTTTATTTATTTTTTGACTTCAAATTCGTCATGTAAATATTGAAAATATTTTAAATTCATCATGTAAATATTAAAAATATTTTAAATTCGTTATAAGATGTTAATCTTTCTCACATTAATTTTTGCTTGAACTCAAATTTAAGAAGAATACAACTAAAATTAAATTTTTATTTATTTTTTATTTATCTATTATTGTTGTTATTATTATTCTAATCTAAATTTGTCATTTACCCAAACATTTTAACTTTGCCCTCTTAATCCATTCTAATTTCTAAAACCAGTATAAAGTCTTTTTCTACAAGTCATTAGACCCATTTGAAGGAAATCAAATGAAACTAAATCTGAAAACTATAAATAAATTCGTACTGAATTAAAAAATAAATAAATACGGAAGCGTACCTGAATTCATAACGAAAGAAATCTTTGCATCATGCGATAAATCTTTCAAATCAACACTTAACTGTAAAAATACTGATTTTCACTACTTACGGGATAACAAAAAATAAGCAAAATGCACACGTATGATTTAGGAAGCATAACCGCTTTTTATATTGTCAATTTTTATTATTTTATCCATCGTAAAATAAAAAATTACAAATATAGTATCTGAACATATTACAAATATGATATCTGTCAGACCACCACGATCATAAATAATACGGTAGATATGACAAATCAGGTGAACATCTAAAACCATTTGCTAAATTCCTAGAGGAATTTGGTTTCGTCCTATAGTACACCATACTAGGTTCTCCTAGTATAAATAGTGTTGCTGAAATGCGAAACAGAACACTTAAAAATATGATAAGGAGTATGATTAGTCATCTTTTATGAGCTTTAGAGAGCCAAAAAGTCTAGTTTGAGACATTTACACATTTGGAAATGTCCAGCTAAGGGTAGGCCTTATAGGCCACATGAAAATAAATTGGATTTCAGAACGGTTAGTTATTATTTTGTTAGTTATTCTAAAAGATGCAGGGGTTACAAGTTTTATGATCCCACTATTAAGGCAATTTTTGAGACAGAAAATATCCAATTCTTTTGAGGATGTTGAGTTTGCAGGAGAAGAGAGAGTCCAGGACCTTATCTTTGAAAATGAATATATTGATATTCCTTTAATTGTTCTTGACAATGATCAAGATCAAACTCTCATACCTTGCATTGTTCAAGAAATAAATCCAAGTCAAGATAATATTACATAGTACCTCTCGTTCATACTTAAGAAGTTGTTTCAAAAGGACAAACTCCACAACCTCAAGAACTAATGTAATTAAGGAGATCAAATAGAGAAAGGAGAAGTGCAATTCCATATGATTATATTCTATTTCTCCAAGAACATGAGAATGACATTAGAATAGTAAAAGATGATCCAATTAACTTCCGTCAAGTCATGAAAAGTTCTAACTCTTAAAAATGGATTGAATGCCATGAATGAAGAAATTAAGTCCATAAAGGACAATGTCGTTTGGGATCTTGTCCCATTTCTTGAAAGTGCAAAACCCTTTGGTTGCAAATAGATTTTTAAGACCAAGAGGGATTTAAAATGTAATGGTGACATTGATGAGACCATTTACATGGTGCAGCCAAAAAAATTTGTATTAGGTGATGCGAAACAAATGGTTGACAAACTGAAAAAATCCATCTATGGACTTAAGCAGACTTCTCGTTAGTGGTATCATAAGTTCTATCAAGTTATCATCTCGTTCAGTTTTGAGATGAATATAGTAGAAAATTGTGTATACCATAAGTTCAGTGAGAGTAAGCATATTTTTTTAGTTTTATATGTCGATGATATGCTGCCTACTAGTAACGGTATAGGCTTATTTCACAAAATTAAGAGATTTCTAACAAAGAAATTTGAGATAAAAGATATTGGGGATGCCTATTTTATATTAAGGATTTAGATACACCGAGATTGCTCTCGGAGTATAATAGACTAACACAAAAGTGTTACATCGAACAAATTCTTAAGAGATATGACATGCAGGATTGTAAACCAGGTGACACTCATGTATCTAAAAGAGATAAGTTTATTCTAAGTCAATGCTCTAAGAATGACTTTGAGACTAAGAAGAAGCAAAGATTCCTTATGCTTTAGTTGTAAGGAGTCTTATGTATGTACAAGTTTGTACGCGTCCGGATATTACATACATTGTTGGGATATTAGGGAGATATTTAAGTAATCCGTGTATGGATTATTAGAAAGCAGTCAAACATATTGTGCAGTATCTTCAGAGAATAAAAGACTATATGCTCACATACAAGAGATCAGATCAGTTAGAGATTATTGGTTATTCTTATTCTGATTTCGTCAAATGGCAAGACAATAGGAAACTATATCAGACTATATCTACTTGCTTGTTGGGGGAGTTATTTCCTGGAAGAGTGCGAAGCAAACACTCATATCCTTTTCCACCATGGCAACAAGGTTTATAATGTGTTATGAGGCGTCCAATCATAAAATATGACTGCAAAATTTTATCATTGGGTTACGCATTATAGATGGAATTGAAAGACCACCAAAGATATTTTTTGACAATAAGTCTGTAGTTATGTATTTCAATAACAACATAAGCTCAACAAAGTCAAAGCATATAGATATCAAGTTCTTAGTTGTTAAAGAAAGAGTTCAGAGTGATATTTAAAATAAATATCAATAGAATACATGGGGATGAACTCCCTAATTCGAATCCACTCACAAAAAAATTACCACCTAAGATCTTTCATGAGCACATTGTTCGTATGAGTATAGTATCTCTTGATGATGTATAATTTCAGTGGAAGTTTTGTACCATAATTGCTTTTATAATACAGACATGTCATAAGTTTTGTATTTTGGATTTGGTTTATGGATTCCATACTTCCTTTCAGTTATAATGTTTTTAGTTTATTTTTATATTTTATCTATGAGTTTTCTTGCAGTTGATCTCACTAAGGTTAAGACAAGATTAGTTGGAAGTATGCATACTTAGATCACATAACATGTAATTTTCATGGTGCATATCCATACTTGATCTGTATCATTCGATTATACTGATATACATTATCATTGATGAGTTTAGCTACAACAATTGTAGTGAAGACCGCTTTAATCTTGTGTCATTATGATCAATGGATGAGATTGTTTAGTGATGCATTCAGATATTGATAGAAAAGTTTTGAATACTCCTATAATTGTTTAACACACAGGTCAAGGTGACACATAAAGCCCAAGTGGGAGATTGTTCGATTTTTTAATCAATAAGTAGGTTTAATGTGGGCCTCGGTATGCATAACAGGCTATCAGTTTATTGAGCACATTTAAAAGTAATAAATTATGCTTAAACGGTTATGAGTCTTAATGCATCGGATTTAAGTATGGACTTATAATATGTGCAGTTACCATATTTCTCTTTTTTTACGGATAAAATGAAAAATAACAAATATGGTATATGCATATATTACAAGCTCATATTTAAACTTGATGCATTAAAGCCTATAACTGTTTAACCGTAATTGATCACTTTTAAATGGACCCAATAAACTAATAGTCTATTACATACACCGAGACCAACATTAAGCTCACTTTTTGATAAAAAATCTAACACCATTATCATCCCCGTTAACATAATCTTTTAAGCCTTTTTTAATGCACAAAATATCTTAAAATCTTTTCCATAATTTACATTTTGTAAATAAGCTTATCCATTAAACCTTTTATCTATTTGTTCTTGTACTTTCAAAGTTTATCTAAACATGTTATTAAAAGACATAGTTGTTTGAAACTCGATAAAATAATAGACACACGGTTAAGGAGCTGACCGTGTTTTTATTAAGATTTTATTATGTTTTAGTTTACCAATTCTTTAGTAGAACACATGAATTTATGATTTGTTAGTCATAGGTTAGTGTGTCTTAATTTTATCATATGTGAATTAGTGGTAATTTAATTTTAGCAATTATGGGTTAGCGGTGGCTTAATTTCAACAATTATGGGTTAGCAATTTTCTTAATAGGTTAGTTATTATTTATTTTTTGTAACGTTTGTTTATTTTTTTTATTTAAGTTTATCACCAAAATTCTTTAAATCTTTCCTACGTTGTATGTTCTATTGACGAGTCCAAAGACTTTGATGAGCTTTCAATTAATGAATTGTAAAGTTCATTACTGGTGCATGAGTAGAGGATGACAATAACTCCAACTAAGGAACAAGCCTTGAAAGCCTCAACTCATGGTGAAATTTCTACAATGAGAGAATCAAGTGGCCATGGTCGAGGCAGTATATGAGAATGAGGAAGAGGCAGAGGTACTAACACATCCGAATCTCGAGCCAAAAGTAAAAGAAATTGTCATCACATTGAAGCAAAATTTAACAAGTCCAATATTGAGTGTTATCATTATCACAAGTTTGGCCAACCTTTATTTGAATGCACCGTAAACTTACATTCTAACATAGAGGAGCAGTCCAACTTTGCAAAGAAAAAAGAGCAAGAAACACTTTTGATGGCTTTTCACATTAAGAAGGACAAACATGAGCCAGAT